GTAGTTAGAAATAATTTTAACAAACATAGGAGTCAGTTTAACTCAAATCTCGTTGAGTATGCTTTCATAGTGAACTTAGATTCAATTAGGACTTTTGAAGGTTGTAATGTGGCCATGGTTCGTGGTTTTAAGAAACAAAAGATATAAGGCTCAAAATTTATTTAGTCCACCCCATTCTCCTTGATGTTCTTCAATCCTAAGTTCAATTAACCTAACAAATGCGTTTAATCCCCAAGAGAAATTTTGTAGTCGCGTAGATGATGAGAAGCGTGGATAAAGATCCAAGCGCTGATGAAAAGCATTTATAAGATCCAAGCATTTGGTGAGAAGCTTTGATGATTATTTAGGTGGAAGTCACAAGGTTGTTTTTCTAATTTTTTATTTTCAATCCCTTATTTTTGCATGGATCGATTTTTTGAAAATTTTTTTTGATCCATTGGGATGCCCAAATTTTTGCCTAAGTCAAGTTTTGATTTGATTTGACTTAGCGGACTTTCTCAATATTTTTTATTTCTTTTTTTTCGCTTTTGGTTTTGAAAATTTGTGACTGCCATGCTGATTGTTGTAAGCTTCGTCTTCATCGTTTCTTCGATCTTGATTGATGTGTTAAGGAAGAAAGACGTCGTGGACTTTGTTTTTATTGATTCCTCAATCTAGGATGATGAACGCAGGGAAAATGATGTGCTCGAATCTATGCTTAGATTGTTCTCTTAAAGATGTATCTAGGAAAGAGATATGCTTAAACCTTTTCTTAAATCATTCTGATTCTCATGGGATTTGAATGCATCGTCGAATTAATTGAAATCTACCCTGCCTCTGGTTAAGATTATGGTTTTTTAGAGAATAGAAAGAACTCCGACTTCTGGCTCGAGGGGGTTAACTATGTATTAACACCTTATTTCTCCACTATTTAGGAAGTGAAACAATGCCTTACATCATCAACTAAGCCTTACCATTAAAAATCACACGTCGACAAAATTTGATTATTTTGTACTTTCATCATTCTCCATCAGAGTTTGTTAATTTGAAAATGGAAAAGAAAGAGTGGAAATGTGAAGTCGATGATTATTTGTGGAAGGCGATAGGAGAGTGGATACAAATGAGTCGATTTCAAAAACATGCATGCTTATTTTATTACAATTATAAACTAAAAGGTACAAATTTATAACAAATGAAACATAGCAAGAAAGAAATTATAATTTGAAATGGTAAAGCCTAATCATCCTGGATATAAGATTTTGTAGTGATCCACCAATCAAGGCAAGGGGTTTTTCATCATATGCGGGCCATTTTCTTTGAAAGTTAATTGCTTGTTGTCAATCAGTTCTTGTAACACTTCTTTGAATGAGTTAAATTCTTCAATCGAATGCCCTGCTACTCCACCATGAAACTCACATTGAACATCCTAGTTGTACCAAAGAGGAAATAAAGACTTCACGAATATGGTTTTTCTAGGGGTAATTGATGAATTTTGGACCAAATATGACCATAATTGACTGTATGTCATAGGGATCGGGTCAAACTGGAGATTTTTCCCTCTTTGGCTGTTTGGGCGCTTGTGCTAATTCAGGCGTTGATGGTGATTATTCCGATTCCGAACCTGTTAGTTTTGACATTGATGTTGAGATGAAGTCTTAGCATGCTGGTTATGTGGTATATGTCATGGTTGCTAGTGTTGAAGACCAGAGGGTGGTTGTTGGCATTGAGCATCTACTGCATATGAATATTGATGATAAGGCGCAGAAGATGGAGTTTCTGGAGCTTGGTAAGTTCCCCAAATAGAGTTTGTTTCATTTTCTTCTTCCTCTTGGAAATCTCTAAGGGATTCACTAGTCGAGCTACTCGAGACACTTTGGATTTTTCTGGTTTTGATGTTGTTCTCGATGTGTTCCCCAATTATTACTAGGTCAGAGAAGCGTGATGGTATACTGCCCAACATTTTTTCATAGTACTGACCTTGTAGGGTGCTCATGAACACGTCTACTAACTCCTCATCCAATAATGGTGGTTGTACTCGAGCAACCAACTCTCTCCATCTATGCGCGTATTATTTGAAAGATTCGTTACCCCTCTGATATAAATCTTATAATTGCATGCAACTTGGAGCCATGTCGATGTTGTATTGTAAATGTCTCTGAAATGTAAAAGACAAGTCTTTCCAGGTGGGAACGTGGTTGCTTTCCAATTGTGTATACCATTCTATTGATACTCCACTAAGGATGTCTTGAAAACAGTGGATAAGCAATTTATCGTCGCGTGGATATGCTTCCATTTTCCTAACATACATCTCCAAATGAGTTTTAGGACAAGTAGCTCCTTAGTATTTTTCGAAATCTGGAATTTTAAACTTCAGAGGAAATACCAAGTTTTCAACCAAACATAAAGCAGAAGTATCAAAGCTATGAGTATCTTGTCCTTCTATGGCGCTAAGCCTCTTTTCCAACATGAGGTATCTTCTGGTGTCCTCGAGATTTTTGGGTTCTATAATGTTCATGATTAGGTCTACCCCTTGAGACTTGGGCGTATGGAATGCGAATTGATGATACTCAATAGATTCATGATATGGAGTATACTTGTCTTGAAAAATGGTATGTTCTTGTACAACAAGGTTCTCCGTTGAAGCTTGTATAGGTTGAGGTCGAGCCTGAGTGTTTTCTTGAGGTGTAATGATGTCTTCAGTTGTGGATTGTTGGCCTTCTCCCATTGTTGTAGCTAACTTTACACTTGCTTCATGAGCTATCTCGAGTTCGTTCTGAGTATCTCGGAATCACCTTATTAGGTTATGGTTGAAATTTCTCTGCGAGTGGAAGAGATATGAGCTTTATGAGATGGATGAAAATGAAGATGCTTGGGTATGGAATAGTATAAAAATCCATGGATATGCGTAGTATGAGGGTAGCCGTAGGGGTACTCTATTCAGGTTTGATATGATGATATCCTACACTAACTCAAAAATTGAGACAAGCAAGGACTCCTTGAGGATTATGGCCAATGAAAGACTATGTGGAGTCCCTACAGGATAGGGAAGCTGATATAGACGGAAGCCCTACGGGCTAGAGATAGTAGTGGATGAAGGAATAACCCTTGCGGGTTTGCAGATTGTAGTGAGATTTGTGAAAGGTATCCTTAGAAGGTAGGTTCTTAGTATTGGCCTATGAACATTCTAACCTCCTCATAAGGTGGCTTTCTTAAGGGTATCATGAACGACACTAGAGATAACGGCGCAAGGGCCTTCCTTAAGCGGGTCTCTTTACAGGCCGAAACTTTCGTCTCTAGGCCATGAAAGGTCTCATCATGAGATTTTGGTTTAAATGCCGTACAAAGAGTCATAGGTATTATTCCAAAGTCTTACTTCCCAAGAGGATGTCTCTCGAGAGATATTCCTTTTGTGGAATTCTATCGACTCTGAAAAGTCGTCACATAAACTCATAGAGTTGATGTAACCCCTTGGCTAATAGACGAACCTTCTTTCTAAGAGTATTGAGAATAATTTTGCAAAATTTAAATCCCACCACATATAAATATAATGAATAATAACAAAAATAAGCAGAAAATAAATAAATAATTAAATAAGAAAATAAAAACCCTAAAATAAGAAACACCCTAAAACCTAAAGATAAGGCTTTTAAACCTAGGATTGAGTCCCCAGCAGAGTCGCCAGCTGTTGCAACTGATTTTTAAATAAGAGTCGCCACCCTTAATTTTTATCCTAAGGAAGGGAATATAAAGGAATAACCCTACAGAGTTTAGAGATTCTGGATTTGGACTCGATTCTAGATGAGGGGAAGGTGTTAGGCACCCATTATCTACCTTGTTCACAAGGATACTAGGTTTAGAAGCACACTTTTAGGAAAAGGGTTTTAATTTTAGTTAGGGGGACTCACCATGATTTTTGATCGTATGCCTACGTATACTCCTAGGAGGAATCAGAGTCCCATTTCGTAGTTCGCAGTTGGTTTGTGTTTTTTATGTATCGTGAGATATATTTGAATTTCTCGCATATGTGAACTAAGAGTGTGAATAGAGGAGTTTGTTAGACCGAGTATGCAGTTGATTCAGATATATTCGTATTCCTTTTTTCGAAAATTAACATGCAAAGGAGTCTAATATAGTCTCCTCATCACGTGGCCAGATATTAGCCACGTGTCACTCGCAGATGTAGTAATTTGAGTGAATTACACGGATTTTAATATTTTAATATAAAATATTAAATTAACTTAATTTAAAAGTGTTTGACTATCTACAAAGAAAAACACTTATAAAGAAAAGTGTTTTCATTATTTTTGGATTAAAGAAAAAGTAAAGGCTAATAAACCTAATTTAATTAACTAATTAACATATCTTTTTTGTATTGTTTTGAGTATTTCTAATGATAATTATAAAGTTAATAAGTGAATAAGAAAGAACTAGTATTAAAGGGGTGCTAATAGATAAGGTGTGAATTAGAAGGAGGGCATGGCCCAAACCATAAGAAGCCCTAATCCTAAATATTATCATCAATAAAATAAATAGCAAAAAAAAAAAATTAAAATAATGGTAAAACAACGTCAGATGTGACACACCTCATCATGGAGTGTCTTTTGATTTTCAAAATAAAACTCAACCACTAATAAGATACTGACATTTGGCATTTCACTAAACAAACAAAACAAAACAAGAGTAAGACATATAGCCATTCACGGAGAGAGAAGGTTAATATTAGTTCATCCTATTTTTATTCCTCTTTTCTCTGTTCTCATACGCCGAGCCATACCCAAAAGTAAGCAACAATGGAAAACCCTAGGACTCTTTGTAACCCCAACCCCAATTCATTATATCAGTTGGTGTTACCTGCTACTGGTATGCAAGAAATGCGAAAACTAAATCAACAAAAAAGTGCAACAAAAGATCTACAAATTGAAGGAATTTTCTTCCAAGCAATATCTTCTTCTCGTTTTCCTTCTTCTCTGCCGCGATCTCCTTTATTTATTTAACCTGCTTCTTCTTCTCTTTCTATGCGGTTATGGCGACTGCGGATCTGAGATCGGATTGCGACAATGTTGGCTGTGATGGAAGTTGCCCGTTGGAGGTGAGGTGGGAAGGAAGAGGATAGTGTTTTGAGTAGAGGCTCTGAGTAGGTTGTGGCCTGGAGGCTCTCGCAGTCGAGATTCACCAGCGGTGTGACTTGGTTGGAGTGAGACCTCGCGGTGAATTCGGAGGATCCAGATTATCGGATATTTATCGACAGTCTCCTTCCGCTCTTCTTTTGTTCTGTAAAATTTTCTTCTCTCTGTAATCCGCACAGTAACTGCTAATGACCGTTTTGGGCCTGGGCAAAGGATCTTTGTGAAGTTAACAATTTTTTTTAAATAATAAAAACCAGAAATCAATTCATTTTAATGAAATCAATATTTAATAATAAAAAATGATACTGGTATTAATAGTTAAATAAAACAATCTTTTTGAAACAAACATCAAAAACTGAAACGGGCCTGGCGTTTCTGTAATTGGACCTAGTATTTTCAAAACTAAAGAAACAAACCAATTCTTTTTAAATGGATTATAAAGAAAACTGAATGGGTTATTACTTGATGGGCCAAAAATAAAATTAATTCATTTGGGCCTCTAAAGAAAAAAAATATTTCTTTTATACACACTCCTTTGTATTCGAACTGAATAAAAAAGAAAATATGGGTCTTTTCTGATTGAGAAAGGCCCATGACCTCTTTTACAAAATAAACTCCTCTTTTATTTAAAAAAAACCCCATAAAAATAAAAAATAAAAAATAAAAAATATGAATTATTTAACTAAAAACCTAAATATAAAATTAGGGTATGACAAGTTTGGGGTATGACAATTATCAATGATACATTACAAGAGCAGAAAATCATTGGGTTTAAGATTGGTGTTCTTAAATATTTATTAGAGCGTAAAATCATATAACTTGAACATTTATTTTATTTATCTAACCATTTTTTGTTTTATATCAGAAACAAATGCAAGCAAAATCCATTGAGAATATACTCGCACCAACATTTGATCTTCCTCCAAATTCAATGATTTGAAGATCCAGTATCTAATCTTCATTGACAAATTAATTTTTACTTTAATATTTTGTGTAAACAATGTGATATTCTATGTGTAACGCGATGGGAGAACTGACTTGGTTGTTTTTGCGTTTGATCGTAAATGTTGCGGATAGCAAGAGTCGCCACCGACTTTTCTTTTATCCAAAAGGAAAGGCTGAAAAGAACAGGAAAGACCTTTAGAGGTGTTTACTTGAGTTCGGGGGGTAAATTATGAAAAGGGAAGGTATTAACACCATTTTCATCCGTAGTTATCTACAGGCTCTTAGTTTCTTGCTAGATCACTTGCTTTTGTTTGAAAATATGCTTTGTATGGTTTTTGAAGGTATTTTGAAAATGTCTTTGTAATGGTTCTCGTTTCTATAAGAACGCGTACACAGTGTTTGTTTCGAAAATAGTTCAAAGAGGTGTTTGTGGAATGTGTTTCTGTTTTTTAAAAGAGATTTTGAAAATGTGTCTTCTTTGTAATGGTTCTCGTTTCTATAAGAACGCATACAAAGTGTTTGTCTTTTGAAAATGTTTCAAATGAGGTGTTTGGTGTATAAAATGTTTTTGTTGTGAGCAATCAAGCAACTAGGAGCGATCTACCTACTCAAAAGGTCTTAAATGTTCTTTTTCTCCCCCTTTAGATGTTGCTACCTTACTATTGATTGATAAGAAGCCCTATCGTTGGATGTGATGGGACGGACGTGGGATGTTTGTATTGTCATAAAAGGCAACCTATGGGACATTTTATCAATGCCGTTTAGGGACTAGATCATTTTATCGAGGGTCTTTGCTAAAACGCCCATATTCGAGGGACATGACTATTTTCCGATAGGCAACAAGTGAGATTACCCTAAGGGTACATGTGTAAGTAGTGTGTTTGATTGCATGCATTTAGTCTTTGATTTTTGGGTTGTCTATTTGTTGTTTTTATCTTGCCATACACACCTAATTACTAGCATTTATGAAAGTGATAAATTGCGGAAAGTAAAGATTCTAAGCTATTACAATCATTAGGGGGATGGGGTGTATAAATTTATATATGGGGATTGCAAGAAATTAAAAGTCCTAATTATCTATTACAACCATATTGAAATAATATACAAGAAATGTAAAATGGATTTGTTTTGTTTAAGCAAAGAAGTTAGTTTACTTAAGAAAATATTTTTGATCTTTTAGTTTAACAAGAGATAAAATAAAGTATGTAAATATGAAAATGTTTTTTGTGTTTTTGGTTATTAAAAGCTAAAATAAAATAAATAAGAGAAAAAGGAGTCAGAATTAACACATTGCTGAAACGAGAAGGAATCAGAAGTTTGGACTCTGATACGCTGCAAGAGAGAAAACTTTAGTAGGAAAACAGAGGGTCAGAAGTTCTGGGCCTGGGTCCACCAAGTTCTGAGGTTGCCAGGAATAAAGGAAAACCTAGAAGTTCTGATTGTTGAGGGGGTTAAGAAGCTATAGTATAGCTGGGAACCTATAAGTTCATATATCACTAGCAAGTCAGAAGTTTTGATTATTTGAGAGAGTGAGGTGATAATGTTGTTGAGTAAGGTTGTCTAGAAGTTCTGATTTAGGAGTATTATTTGACAGATAAATGGGTGAAAATGTCACTAAATAAACCTAAAAAAGATGCTTCTGGGGCTAGAACCCAGGACCCTTAGCACTAATGTCTTATGCGCACACGCTTTCTACCACTGGGGTGGTTGTACATCCGGTATCAGAAGCAAAAGCATAAATATGTATCACAAAGTAAACTCTAATGATGAACTCCATTTCTTTCTCCATGCTAATCAGAGCATCTGTAACTTAGTCATTTTCTCAACAAAACAAAAAATGCACACATAACAGTTATGGCAGGTTCCATCATGGTTTCATAAATATAAAGTATCAGAACTGTATATCAGAACTGTACATCTGAAGCAAGTATGAATTTTGCTAATCCTAATTCTGAATCCTAATTTCCTCAAGAAGTTCTGAACTGAAATTCTCTCTACTTAGATAAAAATACATGCAATCTGTGAATGTGTACAAAATCAAAGTCAGGATGTCTACATTGTATTTTGAACATGCAAATCTAACAATGCCTAAGTAATATGATGAGAGTCAATAGAAGCTTACCTTGCAGCTGGAAAATGTCCTGTGAACTGGAGCCTAGTTCTAACTGCTTGTAATGTTCTGATCAGCTTCCTCACATGCTCAGCAGACGGGACAACCTTTAACTTGGGTTATGAATGGTGTATGGATGATTTGGTCAAGAAACACTTGAGGGAAATTGGAGTTTGAATGCAAGAATAAAAAACTAACAGGTTTTGTATTTGTGTTTGCAGTTTCAGATTTTTGGAATTTTTAGCAAGGTTTCCAAAGCTTTTCCTTTCAATTTTTCTCCCCCCTCCCCTTCACAGTTGCAAATGAAGTTCAATTTATAGGCAAGAACTTTGCAGTTTGGAGAAGTCAAAAGTACCAACATCATGCTAGCGTGCTAGCTTGTTCTTGAAGCAAGATAAAAAGTATGGTGGTTAGCAGCTTTTAGCCGTGCCTAAGCTGGATTTGTAAGCATGAATTAAGGAAAAGTACCCTCAGAGGCAAAAGCAAAGCATGTGCCCAACATAAACTTGTACAAAAGTTTGTTTTTTCAAGGACAACAATGTACTTCTATGTCACACGTGGGGAAATCCTTTGGATAAAAACTCAAAAGTGGTTGTGAGCATTAAATGATGATGAGATTTATCAAACCATAAATCCTGCAATATGATATTATGTGCCATAGTTTAATCTAGATCAGAAGTTCATCATCAGTGCAACTTAGAACGAACATCCAACTTCTGATCTTGGAATCTCTTTGCTTCAACATGTTCTGTAGGAGTTCTCAGACTTTCCCAAAAGTTTGTAACATGTTTTGTAAATTCTCTTTGAATTGCCCTTGCAAATTCTGACTGGACCTATATGAAAACTGGCCCAAAAGTTCTAATCAAATCCTGTTTTGGAAAGGTCCAGAATTTGCTGAAAGCTCCAGTTTCATGGACGTGTCTTTAAGGATTTGTAGCTTGAAATCTTAGCATTTCTAGGAGAAGTTTTGTTCTGCAATGTTTGAGATCTCATTGAGATATATAACTCTTGTGTTAGAAGTTCTTCCAGAATCAGCTTGCATCATGGTGATAATTTGGCCAGAAGTTCTGAGCTTGTCATATTTCTTAAACACTTAGAAAAATTCTAAGTGTTTAGAGTTTTGACTTTTCCAAAGTAATTTTTGACTTTTGATTATCTTGATGAAACAAAACTCATATTCCAACATGTTTTGATGAAATATGATTCTTGGAACTTGATTTTGATCCAAAAGTCAAAGTTTGATTTTTCAGCATGCAATTGACCATTTTGCCCTTGTGAACGACTTTCTTGGAAAATTTGTAATTCAAGGCTTGAAATTGGATGGAAGCAAACCTGAAGGTCCAAGATGATCCTTTGAGAAATGAGAGGGAAAAGTTTGGGGTACAACAGCTGCCCCTGTTCAATCTTCTTACGCTTGAAGAGTTAGATTGGTGAATCTGCCATTCGTGACTTGAAGGTGGAAGATGATTGAACACTACAGTGCCCAAAAATTTGCACTCAATGATGTGGTGGTTAATTGTGTAGGGAATGGGCTTAAAGATGCTGTTTGGAAGAATGGGGGAGATTTTCTAGAGATGGGCTTGTAGATGCCATCCAAAGGTGACTGTTGACAGAAAATCGACTAAGGCTGAACTTGATTTCAAATGGAAAAGAATCAACATAAATCTTTGGAACGATTTATCTGAAACTAGCAGAAGTCTTGTATGTTGTTTGACTGGGAAGAATCAGAATAAATCTTGGAGCGATTTATCTGAACCAGAAATGTTCATTTGGAAAGTATCAGGATAAACTGTTGAGAGGTTTAAACTGAACCAAAAGAGATCTTGAATATTCTTTAATTGGAGAGAATCAGAGTAGATCTTTGAGCAATTTATCTGAACCAGAGAAAGTGCCCACTAGGAAAGAATCAGAATAAATCATTGAGAGATTTATCTGAACCAAGAGAAAACATCTGCGGGAAAGAATCAGAATAAACTGTTGAGAGATTTAAGCTGAACTGGTAGGAATCTGGAGAAGAATAAGAATAAATCGTTGGGAGATTTATCTGAACCAGAGGAAACATCTACGGGAAAGAATCAGAATAAACCGCTGAGAGATTTAAACTGAACCGGCAGGGATCTGAAGAAGATTCAGAATAAATTGTTGAGAGATTTATCTGAACTAGAGGAAACATCTGCGGGAAAGAATCAAAATAAACTATTGAGAGATTTAAACTGAACCTGCAGGGATATGAATATTCTTCAATTTATGATGGGCCTGTGAAGGGCTGCTTCATGATGAATCAGTGTAAAGCTGTATCTGAAAATAGGAGGAACCCGTGTAGGGTTGCTTCGTGACGAGTCTGTGTGAGACTTCATTTTGGAAATAGGAGGAACCTGTGTAGGGTTGCTTCATGACGAGTCCGTGTAAAACTTCATCTTGGAAATAGGAGGAACCTCTGTAGGGTTGCTTCATGACGAGTCTGTGTAAAACTTCATCTTAGAAATAGGAGGAACCTGTGTAGGGTTGCTTCATGAAGAGTCTGTGTAAAACTTTATCTTGGAAATAAGAGGAACCTGTGTAAGGTTGCTTCATGATGAGTCTGTGTAAAAATTCATCTTGGAAATAGGAGGAACCTGTGTAGGGTTTCTTTATGACGAGTCCATGTAAAACTTCATCTTGGAAATAGGAGGAACCTGTGTAGGGTTGCTTCATGACGAGTCAGTGTAAAACTTCATCTTGGAAAATAGGAGGAACTTGTGTAGGGTTGCTTCATGACGAGTCCGTGTAAAACTTCATCTTGGAAATAGGAGG